GCGTGCTTTCCTGATAGCGATCATTGGGGGGGCACATGCAGTGGCACAGGCAGCTGTGTTGGAGCCATGCTCTCTGCCTGGTCCCTCCCAGCTCAGCGACATCTTTGGTTGACAGGCGCTTGATGGGATGCCAACCAGAGCGCTCTACTCAGCTCGCTGGTAACCAATGATGTCAGTGAGATGAGCGGGAAGCCGGACAGAGCGTCACAGGTTGCTAAGGCTGAGGCTCACAAATCTTCTGAATATTTACTTATACAAAGTGTATTTTTATGAGATTTGGGATCCTCAGCTTTCTCAGGAGGCCTTAGGGAGGCTAATGTCAACCCCGTGTAAGAGAACAATAATCGACTAATGATTTCAGGACAGTGGTGGAGTGACAGAGCTAGGCCCCAGCTGCAAGTTCTATATAATTATGCACAACCATAATCAAAAAACAGTCATGCAACTGCCATTTTTTCATCTTTTTTCATCCTACAGCAGCTACTATCTGCACTCCTGTGACAGCTTTATGGTATTTCTCAGGGTGTGTTTCCTGATAGTGACAATGGTGGAGTAGTGTCTGTCAGATTCCCCCCTCCCCTTTCAGTTCCTTCAGTGCTGACTGGAGGAATTGACTGGGGAGGGGGCGGGCACAGTTGGCTCTGCCTCTAGAGAGGCAGAGCAAGCTGTCAATCCCGCAGCAGGGTGGATCAGTACCGGCTAAAGCACGGCTCTGTGCTGTCATCATATAGCGGGCAACAGCCCGCTATATGCTGAGTTTTGAGTCACAGGAGGACATGGATGCACTAACCGGTCTATGCACTACTTTTTTCAATTGCACTGAAATGCACGGTAGTGCGGTACCACCCTTGTGATATGGTCGATCGCATTGCAGCCGGGAGGTGCGTTTGGTGTGCCATTCAAATGAATGGCAAAGCAACACACCTGCCACACCGTAATGCATGGTAGGTGTGTTGCATGGTACCGTGTGTTAATCATATGAGAAACTGGGACAGTTGTGGAGGGCCGAACCCATAGGTGATATTGGTTCGGCCCTCCACAACAGTCCCAGTTTCTCACCATGGCACCTTGAAAAAATGAATTGTCCACCCTGATTTACAGTGAGATAGGAAGGGCCAGCAGTTTGGGTCAGCCAGGCTCTTTTGCCTTGCACAGTGCTGTCACTCTAGGAGTGGAAGCTTACTTCCAGGAGAAAAAAAAAACACAATTATTACCTGATCTGTGTGCTGCTGTTCTTTTATTGTCCACTTAGCCAACTGGGAGCAGAAAGTAGACAAAGAAAGTGAAACAATACCAGTTATTTTTAAATGACAATACCACCGTTGTAGGCACCTTGTGACTTCTCAGCTCCCTGAATTTACATGCTTGTTCAAATTAACTGACTTAGGAGAGAAGCAAGGATAACAATCTTGGGATGTTTATATTCAAGAAGAGATCAGTGTTTGCAACTCCCATATTTTTATCATGAAAGATTCCCTTTAAAGTGAAACTCCAGGTAAACAGCTAAGTATAATAATTCAATACATATATTTTCTCTGTTTTGCCTGCCAAAAGGATTGGGTATTCTGTGCACCCAGTCTTGTGATTTACAAACATTTTTAAACAAGCCAGATAAGAGACACATTCAGTTGCTGATTAAGCAATTCAGCATTGTATGCTACCTATAAGTAACACTAAAGCAGTAATGGCAAACTAGAACTAGCAGCGTGATCTTCCTGACTGGCTAAAATTACAAATCCTTTTGCAGATAAAACAGTAAACATCTAAACGAAAGAGAATCCCAGAGATGTCCTCATCCCTGTACCTTACTGTCTCCTTCTCTAACTTCTTTTACCTGTTTCTTTGTTTTTCTTTCTTCTCTATATGTTTGAATAATGTTTGGTCCACTTTCATCTTGATGGCATTGATATTTGCGCATGGTGCCTGTGTCATCTGACAGTATGCTGTATTAATGTCAGCAACCAGCATCACCTTAGACAGCTAATGCCGATGTGTCACTGTTTCTGGTGGATGTGGTTGGACCACTTACATTATGAGCAAACATTTGTTGTTTGTTGTATTGTTTATTTGTCCCCTTAAGCCTCACTCCCCATCCACTCCAGTGGTCTAAGGTCCTGTGAGTCATCATGCTCTATACAGTGTATAGGGCATGAGGATACAGAGGGACATACCATCACCGGAGCGGAGCGGGGTGAGAGGCTGGAGGGAACAGTGTAAGAGCAAGCTGGGATCACAGTTCAGGTGACTTTAACTGTTATTTTAGCTCCCTAGACAAAATGAGCACTTAACCCTTGCAGTGCGGGGGTAGCCCCACTGCAAGGGTTCAAATTTGATTTGCCCGGAGTTCTACTTTAAGCAAGGTGAATATAATTGTTATTTTAGCTCCCTAGACAAAATGAGCACTTAACCCTTGCAGTGCGGTGGTAGCCCCACTGAGAGGGTTCAAATTTGATTTTCCTGGAGTTCTTCTTTAAGCACAAGTCATGGTAACATTTCTTATAACACAGATGGAAGTTTGCCCAAAGTCTATCTGAAGTAAGGAAAATCATAGGGTGTTAAAATTCCAGCCACCTTCAACAAACAAATCTAATCTTTGCTTTGAAAACTGTTGGCTAAAAAAAATATATTAGCTGATAGAAAAGAAGTGAAAGTCATACTAGACTTCCTGTGAACACAGATAAGATAAAGCACTGAGGCCCCGTCCACACATACAGCAGTGACCTGTGTTTTACCGTACAGGATCAACGCAGGTCATCGCTAGGACACATAGAAGCCAATTGTCTTCTATATGCCCTGTTCACACCACAACACATGCTGCATTTTTTCACAGCGCAATGGATGCCACTGCTGGTCACCGTACCGCATTGCTGTGTGGGAATCTGAATGGAGTGTATACATTGTACGCTATGAATAAAGTTAAAAACAAAGCGTAAACAGAGACAGCTCTGGCAATGTGCAATACAAAGCCCACTGCCGGAGCTGCCACAATGCATTAGCCCGTATGCTAAAACGCAGTGATTTAGCGGACAGGTTTGTGTGAACAGGCCCCTGGCAAAGGGTAATGTCTAAGATTTCACAATGTCTAAGAGGTAAAAGGTGAGCATTAATGCAAAAACTGCACCAACAAGTCAAAAGTAACAAAGACGTTATACACCATGCACCTAAACACCCCATGTCCTGGCGCCAGGTGCTGGAACGTTGATCCAAGAACAACCAATGCCTGGTAAAAGGCCAGACCTCTGACCAGGTCTACATAACATAGACCTGACCCCTGTACTCTATAAGCTATGTTGTGTATTACATAGTCCTGACCAAAGTGTTTATTTTCTCAGTTGCTAGTTGCTGAGTAGTTTGCAACT